CAATACGATTCTTTTGATTGTAGCCGATTACTCCCATAGCTTGTTTACCCATAGCACATTGATAGGTGTTTCGTGGACTTTGATTATGATGTGGATAAGGAACGAGACCAGCACAAACACCGAGTAATGTAAATGGCTCAATTTCCAAGTGAGTCGTGGTACCTGCATTTATATCTGCTTCATTCCAGGCAATAAATGAATCATTTTCTTCATTGACATCTAAGTATTCGATGAGGCCATCATGTAGAAAATCTTCAAATTTTCGTATACCTCCTTCCATTTCGTCTAAATGTTTTTGAGTAACTGCTGAATTGCCATATTTTACTATTATATATGGACGACAAAGGCGACCACCATCAGTGTGTATATAAACACAGCGTTGCGTGTGTGAAGTGTGTATAGAAACGAAAGGACCCAGTTGACCTTTACGACGCATCATACGAAATACTTCCACTAAACGCTTGTAGTTCGAAACCAAACCGAGTATATTGCCTGTAAATCAAAAGATTGATTTCATTTACAATCAGTTAATTTAGGAATTTTATTTATACATACCATTGATAAATACTAAAAACATGCTAGGATTATTAATCGCATCTCCGCCAGCAAACCGTATATCTGCGACGCCTGCATTAAACGCTAAACGTATTACAGGTGCTTCATCAACTTCTGTTGTTATATGTGTCATAAGCGCCAAATTCTTTACCAAACCACAAGCTTCACCTTCAGGTGTGTCTGATGGACATAGCATACCCCATTGACTGGGTTGCAGTGAACGTGGACCAGAAACTTTTCTTGTCTTTTCGAATTGTGAATTCACTCTTGTCATCATACCCAACGCTGATATATAACTCAAACGTGAAAGCACTTGTGTAACTCCAGTACGCTCCATTTTAAAACGTTTTATAGTCCAATTGCCAGATGAAATTGCAGACTCTAAGCCAACAGTAATTTGTGCCGCACGCATGTGTTTCACAACATCGAATTGGGCAGCCTTTACTTTGGGTATATTTTTGTCAGCTATCATTTTTAATTCCCAATTCATACGTTTAAATAAATCCTCAAACATAAGCGATATTAAGGATCCGGCAAGTTCCAAACGTTTATTGCCATAATAATCACGATCATCTACAGTTGTAATATCCAATTCCGCTGCCATTACACGCCTCACCATAAGCGCCACATAAACAGATTTAATTTGAAAATTATAATTTTCTACTGGCACATGTGCTAAAATTGTAGTTGCTATAAGCTCTCGCGCTTCATCAGCTGGAGGAACAGTCTTAGCAGTTTGAAACCTTTTGACGGCAAGTTTAGAACCTTAAATGAAATAATTTAGTTAGTTTGCAGAACACATTAATTCTATCATTTTAGCAACTCACCCATATATTCTAAAGCTCTTTGTTGTGTAAAAATTTTCAAATGGTAAGCTTCAAATAACGATGGTGCAAATCGGTTTTGCGTTTCCACTCCCATACCTATAAGTGACATAATTTCTTGATCTGAAGTAATGCCCATTGCTTTAAAAATTACCACAATCGGTATATCGTCCACCATTGAATTGTGTTTCAAATAGTATTTGTTGTGTTTGCTAAGAACAACTGTACGCGATTTCTTTTCGTGTGTGGAGGAAGTAACTTGACACTGTACAACTCCATTGAATTCTTCGGTAATCATTTTATTCCATGATAACTGTTCTTGTATGAGTATTACTTTTTCCTGACCACGTACTACAAAATAACCACCTGGATCTAATGGACACTCATTCATTTTCGACAGCTCAAATTCAGATTTATCAGTTAGGACGCAGTTCGACGAGCGCAACATGATGGGCAACCTTCCGATGAGTAAATTATTTCGCGCTGTACGCTGCGTACCACGTGTATATTCGATATCTACAGTTATGGGTGCAGAGTAGGTGGTGTCGCGCAAACGACACTCATGTGGTGTTGTATTTTTTGTTATATTAAAGCCATCTTCAATGTCTGGTTTGCCAATCCGCACATCAAGATATTTAAGATAAAACAACGGATCTGCATCACTTAATACTATTTGATTTGCTTCCACAATTTTCTTAATGTCTACATTAACAAAGTGATTAAAAGAGTCTATGTGTTGCTTTACTAATCCTTTAACCTGTAAAAAAGCCGGCACTAGTTTCCATTTCTCTTCGAGCGGCTTTATCGGTTTTGACCAAGATTTTGGATCACTGTCCCAATTATTTTCATTTATATTGCTTAGCACCATTATAAAGAAAGTTTCTCAATATTTATTTGGATTATTTACTTATCACTTCTATTTTGCTTATTTAAATTTAGCACGAGTTTTGAAACTATTTTTCAAACATATGTTTAAGGTTTAGTGCTGCCAGATACTCGTATTGTCGTTACAATGCAACCTACCCAGCGAGAAATTTAATAATCACTTTAATGGTAATCAATTGAAAAATTTGCACATAGTCAAAGTAGTGTTATGTACAGTAATAATTTTATAATTTATATTTTAATGAACAAATTTTATTCATATTTATTAAACTTATATTGACATCACGGTCAACTATAAGACTGATTTACAAAACTATGTATAAGTGTATGAAAACACTAAACACTTCAGTAAATCGTTTAAAGAAAATATATATAATTCCTGTGTAAATGTGCGGATGCATTGTCACATATTATTTAATTGTTAGACAAAGAAAGAGTCATATTGTATTGTGCAATTATTTGTTTATATACTGACAGATACAATGTGATCAAATAAATATATTTGACAGAACAGCTGTGCAGTTTATATTATGATTTTAGTAATATTTTATTATCTATTAAATAAACATTTAGATGCCACGTAGATATATTTATATCTCTCATCTTCTTTGTCTTTGTCCAGATCATGCGCGGTGGCGACTCATTACTTTAGGGGCCGCTTTCTTTGAGAATCTTATTCAACTATAAGACCTTTCACTAAATAGCATTTTAAGCTTCACCAAGGGTTCCAGGTTGTTTTAAACCCTCAGTTTTTCCATTATGCTACAGCAGAATAGGCAAATATGTTTAAGTGGATTCCCTTTGGATCCCCGATATGACCTAGCCTAATGTAAATATCAACCAATATTAGAAAGTGGCGTTTATTTGTCGAAATATCGGATATATATCATGCAAAAATATATTTCGTATTAAACGAGGTTTTAAAAGGATATAGTATATATACGATTACCAAATTTGTTTTCACTTTTTTGTACAGTTTATGTGTGTTAAATTGTAAACAAGTAAATTATTACACAATAGACAAAGAGTAGAGAAAAATAGATATTCTTTACTTATTTCAAAATATAAAATACCATTTGTATCTAATTTTATAAATTTCATACTCTCGTTGCTTAAAGTCTCATCTCGAACTAATAGTTTTTTTTTACTCGGAAACGTTTTTAAGTTTTAAGTATCAGTACAGCCAAATTCAAAAATCTGTTTATTTTGAATATTCATTGGATATATGTTGCAAAATTTCATTCATTTACTAATAAATTTAAATACATAAATAAATTGTGAGATAAAAATGTTAATTATTGCCTTTTTAATATTTATTTTATTTAATTTAATAAATCTTTTCTGTAAATTAATTAATTTTTAGTATTTACAATTTTTTTATTTATATTGTGCACAACACAATGAAAACGTATGCCAAAAAAGAATTGAACAAATTTTAAAAATTATAATTTGTTTCAAATCAAACTTAATGTGGTTTTTTTACAACTCTGAAAAAAAAAATTACGGCTAATAACATGTCAATTAACACCAATCTTATATTCATGAATAGATTTTAAGCTTATAGGGTGGCATCACAGATTTTGTATTACATATTCCTTTGAAGACAAACGTCAAAAGTTTATCGCAGTGATTTGATAGTCGGAGTTATATTTTTTCAGTCTTAAAATAAACAAAACTACGTATTATATTTTATGTATAGTATTTAGTCTTAATTTAAGTAGCTAAATTTTAATTAGTTTCATAAATGTTTGTGATTATAAATAATTATGGTTTAAAAACAGTACAATAGAATGTAAAGTGCTTCCATAGTAAAACATATTACAAAAAATTAAGAAAAAAAATAAAATTAAAAAACAAACCCCTCCAAAACGGAAAAAAACTCTGTTTATCAACCAACGTGCACGGAAAACAAAATAGCAAACTCTCTCTCTCTCTTTCTCTCTCTACGGATTATTAAATCTCTTGTACCTCGCAGCAGTCAGCCAAAGAGCAATCTTGGTTAATGCGAGTACCAGCTATTTTTTCTAATTGGACAATTTGCTTGCTGGTTGCAATCAGTCGTCGTTGTTGCTTTGTACGTGTTGAACGTGTTTGGTGAATTAATAAAATCCAAAAGAAAAGTTTACGCTACGATTTGAATTAATCGCTTGATTTCAAAAATTTTACCTTTGATTTAATAAATAAAGTAATATGGAAAAACTAAGCGTGTGCATTGTCGGTTCTGGCAATTGGTAGGTGTCACTTTTATGTTTTGTTAATACACGCTTGCATGCAACGTTGCAGTCCATGCAACTCCCACATGTTATATAATTTTAAATGGATTCTAAAATCTATGATTTTTTTTATCGTTTCTCAATGTCTAACTTGCATCTTGAAGGGGATCTGCGATTGCCAAGATTGTAGGCGCGAATTGTGCTAACATGGATGAGTTCGACAATCGCGTTAATATGTATGTTTATGAAGAAGTGGTCAATGGCAGAAAACTAACAGAAATCATCAACGACACTCATGAGAATGTGAAATATTTACCGGGACATAAGCTACCAGAAAATGTGGTAAGTAAATTAGTCTGTCATACAAGTTGATTATCAAATGGAGATAAGATTATTTTTAAAACAATATTCGAAAATGTAGATTTGCTATTTTTAAAACCAAACCTTTGATCTTTAAATTTCGGTCCACAGAAAGCAGTTTCTTAAATTTTTAGTTTAAACAAATAATTAACATTTTTGTTTTCTAAGTCTGCCTTAGTTTTTGCTCGGCGGAGTTATAAAACTTGTTAATGAATGATTTTTTTTTTCTGAACAAAAAAAAATAAATTATATTTATTATGTATACATATTTATTTCTTGAATTCTAAATCGAAATCTCTTAGTAACAGATTGAGGGGAATATGTGGCATAGTGGATTATTAATTTATTTAATTAAAATTGTTTGATCTGTTATTTAAAACATTGTTCAATAAATCTAATTAATTAATCAATTATTTTTTTTTTAATCCTTTTTTTTTATTTGAAAAAAAAAATGTTATATAACCTTTTTCTTTCATTTAAAAAATAAGTAAATTATTTGCGTTTCTTCTCATTGAATTTTTATATAATCTTCAATCAAATAATACTTTTTTTCATTAATTATTTTTAAATCTTTTTTTCAAATAAATAAATTTTTCGTGATTCAAAAATTAGTGTATTCATTAATGAAAAAATATCACCAATTATTTTAAGAATTAATTTATATATATCTAACGGGGGTTTAATGTTTTAAAAAATAAAATAAATACAAAATTTTGTTGTGTTATTAAAAAAAAATTTTTTTTGTATATTACTTTTATAACACTTTCATACTACATACAACATATTTTAAGACATTTGAGTACAGTGATTGTCGCCCTATTGGCCCGTTGTGACACCATCCTATCCCAGTTAAGAAATCGTTTGCTTTTCCGCAAAATCAACCATATAGCCTAACCTCGTAAGCATCTACATAGGGTATAAGTTCATTTCAGCAATTTCCACCTAGGTTTCCCTTGTGTACACATGTGAAGTCTATAAGCTATATAGTTGCAGAGAAGATACTCAATCGTCTTCTTGCCATGGTATAGTCAACAATGTTTTATAGAACTAACTATAGAACCTCGTAAACATTAAAATAGGGCATAACTCCATTTTGAAATTTTTCCCAGATTATCCAGGAACGCTTTTTCTAGTGTACTTATTCGAATCCTGCATAAAACTAGAAAGTTGCGGAGAAGATGCTAAATCGTCATCTCGGCATGGCAGCTCCTACCAAAACAATTTAAGGAAGCTTTGAGTATAGTAGTGTGTTTGCTATTCAGTTAGTGCTGTATTATCACCTACATCAAGACGGCTAGGTCCTGCCTACTGATATTTGAAGTTAGTGGTCTTGACGAGGATACTGCATCTGTGTTGAGGGCTGTAAATCTTTGTTGTTGGACGGGATTGCTATTCCTTTCTCTTCATTGTTCCTGTGTATATATTGTTCCTTTTACTATTTTTCAAAGTCGCTTTTATTAGTCGAATGAGTTTTCTGCTGATGTGCAATACAAACATTTTCTTTTGGATTATGTATCGATTGATGTTGTCAAATTCTTGATCTATAGAGAGAATATGTAAGTCAAATTTATTGGATTTTTAGCAACCTTTAGTATAAATGCCTTGTTCATTACAGATATAGTGGGTTTGAAGTTGAATAGATACTCTCCCAGCACACATTCTGCAATTTGCAAGAACATCCACAAATGGTATTTTTACTTTCATTAAGCATAGTAATTACCATTATTACTATATTATATCTTTTTTATGCTATATATAATATATAATTATATTATTATTAAGTAATATTTATGTGTACAAATTGTCTATATATATATGAGAATAGTTTAATTACATTGAACTCTTCCACATCTCTGATTTTTCTATATTTTTATGAGATTCTACTTTCGTTCTCCCACCAGCCGTTTTAATAATTTTTTGCTCATTTTAAAAATATTTTAAATTAGTTTAATTAAAAGCAATAATTATAATTATCATTTAAATACAGTAGATTTGCTTTAGTTTCTATATTTATTAATTAGTTTTAATTTTTTTTCCAACCTGTTCGTCAATGCTTTTTCAAGTTTACTGCCGTAAAGTAAACAAGTAAAAAAAATTCATTTCAGTGATGAAGTAATGGAAATTTTATTTATTGTTCATAATTAAATAAATAAAAGCTAATTGGGCATTTTATTCGCAAAGTAAAAAATCTTAAAACACGTTTTCATTTCAGTGAAAAATACAATATTATGCAACAAATGCTAAAATGCATTCTTATTAAATTTTATTTTTAATTGTTATTTCAAATAAGCTCAAGCACAGCCAAATAAAAATGTTCGTACACATAATACTACCTACTAAAACAAATAAAATCGTTTTAAAAGTTTTTCTAAATTTTTTTTTTGTTTTCTCAATTTTTATTATATTTTTGTTATATTTTTGTTAAGAAAATCAAATAAATTTTATTTAAAATCCTTACGTAAATTAAAACAAGCAAAGTGCTGCCATATACATTATCTAATCAGACAATGACAATGACATTTCTTTTGCTATTTTCATGTTTCTCACCTATATATTTTGTTTTTGTTTTATAGCATGCAATTTTTTGCAGTAAATTGTTTTTGCTTATTTTTCATTTGCTTTTCTAGCCAAGAGCATAAATAAACTACCTTGAAGTTGTAAATATTTTGTTAATCTCTTTTGATTTGTTTCTCTCTTTCTCTCAGTGCATTATAGCATCATTTGGCTAAAATCATTTCAGTCTGGCACTAAACAAGGCAATACCGTCCGTCAGTCAGTATATATTTGTGTGTGTGTGTGGGTGTGGGTGTTTGTATGTTGAAGGTATTGTGAAACTTCCATTCTTTTTAGAATTTGTGGTATTCGCTGTATAACTGTGTTGGTTGGTTTTCTCTTTGGCTGCATATTTGTTGTTTAAATTGTAATGCAACGTGTGGGTCAAGGCCATGTGTGATTTCTGTGCTCCAACAGCTTGCAAACTTTGCTTTGTTCGATTTGCTTTTACTTTTGTTTATTTTGTTAGATTATTCCAAAAAAAAAATAAAAATAAAACTGTTTAAAGGGTTTTATATCTCTTCAAAATAATCTTAACATTTAATAGTTAAGTTTTATTGGCACATATTTGTTGGTGTTTTTGTTGTTGCTATTATTGCCACTGTTGTTGTTGCTGTTATTTACACTGTTCTCGCTGTTGTGGTTACATTTGTTGTTGTTGCTGCTGTTGTTATTACTTATTTGCATTTTCAAGGAAATTTTATTTATAAGAAATACACTTTCAAGGTTACAGGATATGTGGGAGTCACTCTCATAATGCCTTGACAGCACCATATCTAACTAAATTGCATTAAGCAAATGAACAACAATCAATATTATTTAATTTTCATGTACAATATTTGAAAAAAAAAACTTTGTTATAAACTTTATCGAAATATAAAAAAAAAAAAATATGTTAATTAAGATGACTCATACGTCAAATGACAACATTTATAAATTGTTTTTTCTTTCTTCTTTACGTACTTGAAAAATGGTCGTTAAGATTATTAATATTTAATGCATTTCAAAAAAAACTTCTAAAATTTATTGCCGTTAGCTCTTTTTTAACTGCACTAATTTGTTGCATCAGATAGACCAAAATCTTTCATTCGACATCCAAAATCTCTATGTTCAAGACTTTATTAACTAAAGTTCTTTTTTTTAATTGGAAGAAAAGCTCGAAACCCTATTTAGTGCGAGATTTCAATTGCCCTAAAAACTCTGCTCGTCCGGATGGAAAACTCCTTTAGGAACCACCGTTAGGTAAAACGTCTAAAGTATTAACTAATGCTGTAATCAGCCATCCGTAAAACTTGTTCCAATCATCATATTTGTTGAAATAATCGTAAGCTGATGCTGTTTTAACTTGTATCAATGTTTCTAATTGATCATATTGATACCAATAGTTGACTCTACTGTCATTAACTTGATTAGTTGGTCATTACAGATGTGAGTCGTGTTTGTTCGCGTACAATAGCCTCCACCAGCTAGCTCGATCAGTGGTTTGCTGTGCCCGTTGGTAGTACCGAGTACCTTCACATCATTGGTCACCTGCTATTTTCACTAAAGATGGGGATGTCCTCTATTCCGTTTTTTATTAATAGGTAATGAATCAAACACGTTTCTAGTTGGAACACTTTCTTCCATTCGCTCGATATGACCCAGTCAGCCAAGTCCAAAAATTTTTATGCACTTAACTAACATATGTCAGTGTTAATAATACGTTACTTGTTGTCAACAAGTGGAGGAGAATAGATTTTCTGAAGAATTTTTCTCCTGAATGCTAGGTACTTTAACTGAATGCTTTGGTTTACTTCCGAATATGTTGAACCGCTCTTAGCTTATGCATGATCATAATTGTCTCCTATAGTAACTGCTATGCGATCTTTTTTTGCATACCATATATGCCATCTCTACGGTTTATGAAAGTCATAACCAGATATTTAAGGTTATATTGTCTTAATTTAAAAATGTGAACATTGTAGCATCGTGGGAGTTCAGAAAATACTGTGTTTTGCTTCGAATCAGTTTTAAGTTAATATTTTTAAATTAAATATTAAGTGAAAAGAGAGTTTGATATGCTTTACAGATTGAGAAATTTCATTGTTTTAAAACTAAATTAGATGTAAATACTACTTTGTCATCTAGTATATTGGAACCTTTGAGTTCCAAAAGAACTTAAAAATGTTTGAAAAATGTTTTTTGAACAGTAGACAATTATAACAATTCATTTTTATCTGCAATTATTTGAGTATTTGGCTGAGACCATACAGCTGTTGTTAGTATTGATGAACACCCATTTTTAGAGGTATTTTTTGGATATATTTCTTAAATTTAATTATTCGTAAATCAGTTTTTGAGACTATACGACCAAGAGTTAAACTTGTACTCTGTCAAAATTTAAACTAAAAGTCACTGACTAACCTGACTAAAATGAATGGTCTAAACCT